ATGAAGATACTAAAAATAGGTCTAAGATATGGGATATCAAACACAGGCTACTGGGAAATTAAAAGGAAGTTACTTTTTTTTTAATGTGCATTTTTTTTGAGACAGGGTCTGACTCTGTTACCCAGGCTAGAGTACAGTGTTACAATAATGGCTCATTGCAACCTCACCCTCCAGGCTCAACTAATCCTCCGAGTAGTTGGGACTACAGACACATATCATCGTGCCCAGCTAATTTTTGTATTTTTTATAGAGATGAGCTCTCCCTATGTTGACAGGCTGGTCTCAAACTCCTGGGTTCAAGCAATCCGTTCTGGGATTATAAGCATGAGCTACCGCAGCCACCGTTAAAGTTGCTCAAGATAAATGAGGTAGCTTCAAGAAGGCATCGCTTTTGGAGGGAGAAGGGGTAAATTGAAAAAAAAAAGGTACCCATTGAGACCTCGATAATAAAATTAAACGAAGAAGCAAGAAAGGGAAAGTAAGGATCCTATGAAAACAAAAGTGAAGCACAAATGAGAAACATACTGACACTGCCCTCCAATAAGAGTGTCATTGATTTGGGCCAGGCGTGGTGGCTCACGCCTATAATCCCAGCACTTTGGGAGGCCAAGGCGGGAGGATCGCTTGAGCTCAGGAGCTCAAGACCAGCATTGGCAACATGGCAAAAACCCATTCCTACCAAAAATACAAAAAAAATTAGCTGGGCATGGTGGCAGAAACCTATGGTCCCAGCTAGTTGGGAGGCTGAGGTGGGAGGATTGCTTGAGCTCGGGAGACAGAGGTTATAGTGAGTCAAGATCACGCCACTACACTCCAGCCTGTGTGACAAAGCAAGACCCCATCTCAAAAAATAAAAATAATTTTAAAAATAACAAATAAAAAAGAGTGTCATTGATTGAAAAAAACTGCATTTCCCTACACCAAAGGAAGAGGGTGCTCTTGAAATAAGAAACTTACTTCCCTATCAAAATTCTTGCTTCTGTGTATTAATACGTAACTGTTAATACTTATCTTAGTAAAGAAAATTATGGAAAATACAATCAGGAAATAAATAGAAGAAATAGAAAAATCCATGTAAAGCTACTACAAAAATAAAACAGAAAATGAGAATCAGAACATTTTAGCTAATGAAAATTCTCCCTAAAACAATGAAACAAAAGAAAACATCACAATACCCCAATTTAAACAGCTTTAAGTTAGTATTTGCAGATATTTTTAAAGTCTTATCAAATCATAAATGCAAAAACTCAAGGCACAATGGATTAAAAAAAACAGGAAGATATGAAATGACAGCTGAGCAAACCCAGAAATACTCTGCAGAAAACAAAATCATCTCAGAAATGAAGACTAAATTACAAGGTGGCCAAAGGAGACTAGAATTCTACTGAACATTTAATAAAAAGTACTGAGGCCGGGTGTGGTTGGCTCATGCCTGTAATCCCAGCACTTTGGGAGGCCGAGGCAAGTGGATCACCTGAGGTTAGGAGTTCGAGGCCAGCTGGCCAACATGGCGAAACCTCATCTCTACTAAAAAATATAAAAATTAGCTGGGTACAATGAGAAGTGCCTGTAATCCCAGTATTCAGGAGGCTGAGGCGGGAGAATCACTTGAACCCAGGAGGCAGAGGTTGCAATGAGCTGAAATTGCACCATTGCACTCCAGCCTGGGAGACAGAGCAAGACTCCACTTTGAAAGAAAAGAAAGACAAGAAAAGAAAAAGAAAAAGAAAAGAAAAGGGGAAAGAAAAAGGGAAGAAAGGAAAGAAATGGTGCAAAAATCACACTATTGTACTCCAGCCTGGGTGACAAGAGGGAAACTCCATCTCTAGGATTAAAAAAAGGAAGAAAAGGCAAAGAAAAAGGGAAGAATAAGGAAAGAAATGAAAGAAGGAAAGGAGAGGGAAGGAAAGGGAAAGAGGGAAGGAAGGAAGGAAGGAAGCAAGCAAGTGTACTGAGTGCCAGGTTCGGTGGCTCATGTTTGTAATCCCAGCACTTTGGGAGGTAAAGATGGGTGGATCTTGAGGTCAAGAGATAAGACCATCCTGGCCAACATGGTAAAACCCCCGTCTCTACTAAATATTCAAAAATTAGCTGGGTGTGGTGGTGCACACCTGTGGTCCCAGCTACTCGGGAGGCTGAGACAGAAGAATTGCTTGAACCCAGGAGGTGGAGGTTGCAGTGAGCTGAGATAGCACTACTGTACTACAGCCTGGTGACAGATTGAGACTCCATCTCAAAAAATAAAATAAAATAAAATAAAAACCTAAAGAATACTAAGGGAAGATATGAAAACAGCTAAGAGAATAAAAATAAAGAATCTAAAAGGATAAGAGAGAAGGTGGTTGTATATTAGACAAAGAAGTTCTAAAATGGCAGGTGTGGTGTCTCATGCCTATAATCCTAGCACTCTGGGAGGCTGAGGCAGTAAGGTCACTTGAACCCAGGAGTTCAAGGCTGTAGTGCACTCAGGCCATGGCACTCCAGCCTGGGTAACGCCATAAGACCCTGTCTCTAAAACACGAAGAAGAAGAATGAAGAAGAAAAGAAGAAGAAGAAGAAAAGAAGAAGAAGAAGAAGATTAAAATAAGTTCCAAAAAATAAAATAAAACAAAAACAAATAAAGTACTAAAAAATTAACATATAATAAGGAATCATCCTGAAATAAAAGAAGACTTGAATCTTTATGTTAAAAAGGCTCAAGAATACAGTGAAAACTGACCCTGAAGATTAATTCCAAGATATATCTTAGTAAAACCATCACATTTAAAAGAAAAAAAAAAAATC